TGCAATAAGATTTGTCTGGCATGATCTATTTTTGACAAACCCATGTTGGCTTTTAGTAATGACTTTGTTTGCCTCTAGGTGTTCGTTGATTCGTTGTTTGATTATCTTTTCCAGGATCTTCCCAGGTATTGAGGTCAGGCTGATAGGTCTGTAATTTCCTGGGTCCATTTTTTTTCCTTTTTTGAGGATGGGAACTACGATCTGGATGATTAGTACTGGTACATGTTTGGATCCTATTATTAAAAATAAGTGATGAAAGAGGGGAGCTTTGTAACAGTTTAAAAAATATGGACATTTAAAATAAATGTGTTTATTTAAATGCTTGTTTGTTTAAGAGGGAATAATATAGTACAGCTAGTCCTTGACATATGACCACAATTGAGCCCAAAACTTTTGTTGCTAAGTGAGACATTTGTTAAGTGAGTTTTGTCCAATTTTATGACATTTCTTGCCAAATTTGTTAAGTGAACCACTGCAGTTGTTAACTTAGTAACATAGTTATTAAATGAGCCTGGCTTCCCTATTGCCTTTGCTTGTCAGAAAGTTGCAAAATTCATAAATATGAGTCAGTTGCCAAGCATCTGAATTTTTTTTTGAAACAAATTTTATTGGTTTTCAAATTTTACATTGAGTATTCGGAAAGCAGCATGGTGACTGGGTAATCAGTGGTTCAATAACAAATTTTTAGTACATATTTCAGGTTACATCATCAGAAATTCCTTCTCTATTTCCCTTAACATTTGTTATATCACATTTAGGCTAATAGATTTTTAATTATAACAAAGTTAATTAAAACCTTTATCAATATATTTTTGCTTATACATACAGTATCCCTATCCTGTTTCTAAGTTTTACCTAATTTTTTATTTTTTATTACAATATTCCAATTTAACCTTTAATATCCATAGTGTTTGAATTTCGGGTAATCCAAATTTCCTTTATTTCACTACATAAAAGTTATCATATCTAGAATATACATATTACTTACTTAAATATATTCTTACCTTATTTCATAAACATTTTCTATTTCTCATCCTAATACATCATCACTTACTGATAGAGTGTCCTTTATTGTCTCAAGTCTACTACTATTGAGCAAGGTACCTCCTGTGCATTTGGTTTTTCTTGCCTAAATGTAGAACCTTACTTTTTTCACCATTGAATTTCATTTTGTTAGATAGCGCCCAGTGTTCAAGTCTGTCCAGATCCTCCTGTATCTTAAGCCTGTCTTCTGGAGTGTTGGCTATTCCTGTTGTCTGCAAATTTGATGATTTCCCCATCTATCCCCTCGTCCAAATAGTTGATGAAGATGTTGAAGAGCACTGGGCTCAGAACAGAGCCCTGGGGCACCCCACTACACACTTCCCTCCATGTAGATGCGGTTCCATTGAGGACCACACGCTGAGTACGGCTGGTCAGCCAGCTATGGATCCATCTGGTGGTGATGCTGTCTAACCCACATTTTTCTATCTTATCAAGTAGTAGGTTGTGATCTACTTTATCAAATGCCTTACTGAAGTCCAAGTAAATTATATCCACAGCATTCCTCTGATCCACTAATTTTGTAACTTGGTCAAAGAATGCAATAAGATTTGTCTGGCATGATCTGTTTTTGACAAACCCATGTTGGCTGTTAGTAATGACTTTGTTTGCCTCTAGGTGTTCGCTGATTCGTTGTTTGATTATCTTTTCCAGAATGTTCTCAGGTATTGAGGTCAGGCTGATAGGTCTGTAATTTCCTGTGTCCATTTTTTCCCCCTTTTTGAAGATGGGAACTACATCAGCTCTTTTCCAGTCTTCCGGTAGTTCCCCAGTGCTCCAGGATCTTTGAAAAATATAGTTCAATGGTTCTGAGATCACATCTGCCAGTTCCTTGAGAACCTTGGGGTGTAATCCATCTGATTCTGGTGATTTGAACTCATTTAGGGTGGACAGGTGCTCACTTACCATTTTCTTGCCTATCTAACTTGCGTTTCTATTCTGTTTTTTATGGCACTATTTTTGGTAGGTTGGTCTGTTTTTTCCCTTTGTATAAAGAAAGATGCAAAAAACGAGTTAAACAGTTCTGCTTTCTCCCTGTTGCTTGTCACCTTCTTGCCACTTTCACCCACTAGTGGACCAATCATTTCCTTCACTTTTTTCTTGTTTTTTTACATGTTGAAAGAAGCTTTTTTTTTTGTTATTTTTGACCTTGGTCGCAAGCCTTAGTTCCTGTGGCTTCAACACCTTCTATCATTTCATCTCTGTTAGTGAGAATTAGATCCAAAATGGCTAATCCCCTAGTTTCCTTCTCTACTTTTTGGGAGACAAAGTTGTCTGCTAGGTTTGCAAGGAATCTGTTTGATCTTCCACTTGATGCAGAGTTTGTCTCCCAGTTGATGTCAGGGTAGTTAAAGTCCCCCATTACTATTGTGATGTGCTTCCTACATACCTTAATTAGCTGACTAGCAAAAAGTTCATCTATTTCCTCTGGTTGGTTGGGTGGCTTGTAGTATACACCTATGGCAATGTCATTTCCCCCCCTTTTATATTGACCCAAATGTATTCAAGACAGTTTTCATCACTGTTGTGCTCTATTTCTGTAGAGATGTAGTTATTTCTTATATAGAGAGCAACTCCGCCTCCTCTTTTATTTGGTCTGTTTCTTTTAAATGATTTAAATCCCTCTAGCTGTGTGTTCCATTTGTGGGTTTCATCCCACCATGTTTCCGTAATTGCAACAATATCATATCTGCCCTCATTAACCTGAATTTCTAGTTCACCCTGTTTGCTGTTCATACTCTGTGCATTGGTGTATAGACATTTGAGTCATTTATGACTGACCCTGTGTTTACTTTCTACGTAACCTGTGTGGTGCCTGAATTCCCCTATTGTCTTACCACCTATTTGGTTAGTGCACTTTGTGTGGCACTCGCTATTAGAAGCTTGATTTTGCTTGACAGCAACGTTGATATTCTTGTCCACACACACATATCTATGTTACATGCACTGATAGTCCTATAATTTTTAGATTGCCGGGGACAGGGATGTTCTGTATCAATTAACTCACAGTCCCCGCTGTTTAGTTTAAATATTCCTCCAGAAAATCTGTGAATTTATAACCGAGTAACTCAGTCCCTTTCTTTGATGTGTGCAAACCATCTCTTTTGTACATTTTTTCATTGGACCAGCTATAGACATCGTGACTAATATATCCAAAGCCTTCCCCTTTACGCTACTCCTTTAGCCACATATTGAATTGTGCTATACGCTGGCCTTTTCCAGTTTGCTCCTTATATACTGGTAAATAGGCTGTTGTCCTGGTGGCTCCTTCAGTACAATTTGGTCATCTTGTTCCTCAGATTTCCTCTGGTTTAGGTAGAGAGTCACGTCCGGCTTTAAAGTTGTTATTTGGTTATCTAGGTTTTCAATATGCTGTATTTGTTGGTCTTTAACAGCCTCCATGTTGGTGTTGCTTTGTTCCACTTCTGTTGCTTTTTGGGTTGTAAGTTCTTTAGTTGCGGTCAGGGTTTGTCTGTCAAGGTTTTTAGTAAATTGTATTTGTTGATCTTTAAGTTCCTCTGTCTTGGTATTAATTTCTTCCGCCTCTATTGGTTTTTGGATTGTAGGTTCTTTCGTTGAATTCAGAGTTTCATTTTGTAGGTTTAAGCTGGCGCATTTATCTTTCAGTCTGGATTTAATTATCTCAGTAGCTTCAAGGATTTTTTCAAGTATGAGTTTATAGTTAAGTTGTTGATGGTCTTCCTCCATTTCTAACACAGTTATAGATAGTCCTTTAGTGAAGGCTATTTCTTGGATGAAATTCAGTAAATGTTCACCTCCACAATTCCTAAAAACCAATTTTACTGTCCAGCTGTTCTCCCAGCTTTTTATCTCTTTTAGATAGTTCCAAGGACAAATCTGGGTTGTAAGCAGGTCTCTTTAACAAGAGTATTTACTTGCTCTATCAAATTTCACCACAAGATATCCCTGACAGCTTTTAAAATCTTTTTCAAGACCAGGGATAGGTTTTATGCAGTTTAAGTTCTTGTTCATCTTTTTTAGAAGTAGATAAGGTGACAGATTCCCGTGAAAGTAGGAATTTTTGGGTCCCCAGATATCAAAGTAGTATAAATCCAGTTACTTAGCTGTATTTTTTTCAGGGCTTTGTTTTCCCTACGTAGTCAAAGACCGCCATTTTGGAGGGTGGGAAGAAAACATTTCCTTCTCTCTCCTCACAGGGGGAAGAAGTTTCAGAAGGCTTTTGACAGGAAAATACTTGGGATACAAGAAGGTAAAGTCTCACCTAGTTCCTCCGCGGTGCTTTCAGTGTGCTTGGTGGTAAATTTTGCCTCGGCACATAGCGGCTTAGTGATGGGCCATGAGAATGGCCGATCTTTCTCCGTCAGTCTGAAAACCTGCCCCGGATCAAACGGAAGGGCTGCTGCCCTTCTGTGATCAATCAGGAAGTCCTCTTCCTCGCTCGTCGCCCCTCCAAGGTGACTTTTGACCCCTTTCAGTGTTTCCCGGCAAGAGAAAACCGGATGGTGGAGGGAGCAATCTCTCCGCATATCCACCAGCGCCGCGATCCGGAACCAGAAGCCCCAAGCATCTGAATTTTGATCACATGATCATAGGGATGCTGCAACAGTCATAAGTGCGAAAAATGGTCATAAGACACTTTTTCAGTGCCTTTGTAACTTGGAATGGTCACTAAATAAACTGTTGTAAGTCAAGGACTACCTGTACTATAAAGCAGAACATTCCAAGACTTATTTTGTCTGCCTTTTAAAGTAGACCAGACTAGCACACCAGAGTTATGAATGATAATACTTTTATTATAAGATTATATTAATAGAACCTTGTAAGTCTGAGTGCACTTCCCCCCCATGTTCCCTTTATCTTTATGAGAACTAGGAAGGTTATGTCTGAGACACTTTCTGAAAATAATTTTCTGTCCCAGACAGAGATTTCATTTTTCTGACCATTGCCTTTGTTGCAGTTCTACATCTATTTCTCCAGATTATTACTATTACCCATTACATTATTCTGCCTTCAATGAGATTTAAGGAAAACTGTATTATTAGTAACTAATTAGTTACTTAATGGAAAATTTCCTATTACCTGAATTACATGGATGATTTTAATTGTACTTATGGCTTAAATTAAACTCGTGGTTTTTGGTAGTCATTTGCTGCATTTGATGCTACTATGTGAAGACATTTGTAACTTTTGCCAGCTTTATTTCATTGCTTATAATATATCTAACATTTGTTGGGTTTGGCAAGATAATTTTTTTGTTAAGCACTCAGGCTTAAGTAATTTTCTTTGAACCTGGAAGATGGGAGAAATCACAGAAAGATACACCAAATTAGGTTTTTACAGACTAGGATAGATTTATTCTTATTTTAACTTGTTCTATCAAACATTATATATTCAAAATATTTTATTATTTTTGGATTAAAATCTGTTAATATTTAGGTTGCTGTATCACTGCCCTTATCAGACAGATGCTTCAGAATTCAAGTATTCCCTTAACTATTGTTGGAAATGTTAAATTCAAGTACATTTTTGGGTGCCAATTTTTCTTCAGTATTCATATCACAGATTACAGTCGCTATTTCTGACTAAAGTATTTTTTTGAACAAAGGTATATTTGAAGACATTTATGCAACTTTGTGCTCAAGATGCATTCTATCTTCAAGTCATAAAACCATATAAAGTTTTATTTTAATGTTAATTTATTAACATGTTAATTAACATTTGATAACTTATTAATTTATTAAATTTAATATGTCTAAATCAGTGATGTTCAGTGTCTGTATCTCTTATTTTATAGCTTCCCTTCTACCAAGTCAGTAATGTAGTAAGCTATGTACTATACTTCTGCTGAATTGCCAAGACAATGAATGTTGAAATCTTGGATTTTTATCAGTGTTTCCTGATAAATATATTTGGATTAGTGGAATAACTCTGTACAGGCAAATATGTATAGCTTAATTCCAGTTAAAAACACACATTCCAGCATGTGCACCTTATCTTTTTTGCTCACTTGGTTTTTTATAGTGCTTGATTCAGTATCTGTATCTGAACTACGTTACTGTAACTCGTTCAAACCACTCTTTCCCTATTTTTATGAATTACAGCACCATCTGTGTTTTATATTGATCTTTCCTTGTTCTTTCTGTTACAGTGGTCTTTCAAGCTAATTTATCTGTAGAATAAATTTGTGAATGGCAGTTTTAAGATGCTCAGATTACTCGAGTGTTCCAAATAGCAATAGCACTTAGACTTATATACTGCTCCACAGTGCTTTACAGCATTCTCTAAGTGGTTTACAGTGTCAGCATATTACTCCCAACAATCTGGGTCCTCATTTAATGACCTCAGAAGGATGGAAGGCTGAGTCAATCTTGAGCCTGTCAGGATCGAACTGGATGTAGGCAGAGTTAGCCTGCAATACTGTGCCATCACGGTGCTAGAATTGCTAGAAAGATACATGGCATTAAAAATGTAGTTTTTCTGTTAAAATAATTAATTCAAAGACTTGGGTTAATTTCAATTCCTCCTACCTCCTCCAAACTAGTATATTTTTAATCTGAATACCAGAATTTCTTGAGCATTACATGCCATCAGTCTGAAATCCAGTGTTATTTTATTTAACAATCTGAAGCCACACTGAGAGCTTTTCCATTTATTTATTTACTGGACTGATCTCTCACCTTATATTCAAGAGCTCAAGATAGCATAAGACTACTATTTTTCTCAAACAGAATTGGAGGCAGGCTGGGCTGAGAGACAATTAGTAGCCCATAGTCACCCTGGGAGCTTATGTGACTGAGAGGGGATTGATTACAACCTGGTCATTCCGTTCCTCATTTAATCTCTTGTGTCATATTAAAATGCTTGCAAATAAATTTCTGTTGTAATAATTACAACTGGAATTGATTGCAGATAAAGTTTAAATAATTTTGTGTAGTTTAAGTCAGGATTTTTCTAATTGAATTTTTCATTAAGTAAAGCTAATGAAATTCAAAAGTAAAGCAAAATGTGCAAATGGATATATAAAAATAGTTACTAAAACAATACAGAGTTCTTTTTAAGCTAGTAAAAGGTTTTAATTTTACTTCCTATAGCAGTGATGGCGAACCTTTTAGAGACCGAGTGCCCAAAAACTGGCCCCGCCCCCATTCCACCCCCACCCCATCCTCCGCCCTGCCTGCCCGCAGGGCCACTCACCACCTCCAGGACCCGCCGCAGATCGCCCAGGCAGCCCAGCAGCGCCATGGCGGCCACACCCTTTGCCCGCACCCCGCAGCATCAACTGTGCGTGATGGGGCGTGAGGACAGTCTTGTCTACGCTGCCTGGCTGCCATGTCCTTGGCTGCGCTGCTCCGTGTGGGCCACGCTCGGGGCTGACTCTCCTCCAGGGGGGCTACTGGTGAGGTGGTCGTGGGGGGAGGCAAGGCTGGGGTAAAGGCACGTGTGCCCACAGAGAGGGCTCTGAGTGTTGACTCTGGCACGGGTGCCATAGGTTCGCCACCACTGTCCTATAGTTTACTCCATTAAATTAATTTTGTATCATTTTCATTTGCTTAAATATTGTTTCTTTTTCTCTAGTTCTATTGACAAGCCATCAGATTCTCTCAGTATAGGAAATTGTGACAACTCACAACAGGTAAGATCCTAACAAGAATGTTTCTGAATTCTATTAGTTGCATATTTTTGTAATTATAACTAATTTGTGGCAAAAAGAGCCCTGCTTTCATATAAAAGTATATACATTTATAATTTAAACTTGTTATAGTAAATACAGTAGCTTTTTTTCCTTAGCTGCCAAATTTTTGGAAATGATTTAAAAATTACCTATATACTTCTGAAACGCTTGGGCCTGTTTGATTGTTTGTAACCCTCAATTGGGCAAAATAGTGGATCATAGGATAATAATTTTTGAATGTACATACCTCAAATGGACTAACTTACAGAATACATCCAAAATCCAGGACTTTTTTGTGGTTTTGAAATTTGGCAAAGTTGTGGCTGCTTCAATGCATTTCCAATACTCCCTGCAGGTTTCCCAAGGAAAGTCAATGAGGAAGCGGGCAGGAAGTTCGAAGTCATTTATTTTGTTTTATTTTGTTTTTGTTTTGCCCACCCATGGTCATTCCGTTTCTCTGTTTAGGTAATATATCTGAAACAGTGATCCAATGGGTCATGGGTTATCTAGTAAGCTGATAAAATTATCTTCTTTTAAGATTTTTTTATTTTATGGTTGTAGCATATTTGCAAAACTGAATCTTATTTTACCTGACCTTTTCCTTTCAGATATCAAATAGCGACACACCATCACCACCTCCCGGTTTATCAAAATCCAATTCAGTCATCCCAATCAATTCATCCAATCACAGTGCACGTTCTCCATTTGAAGGAGCTGTAACAGAGTCACAGTCCCTCTTCTCAGACAACTTTCGGCATCCCAATCCAATTCCAAGTGGACTCCCCCCATTTCCTAGCTCTCCACAGACGTCCAGTGACTGGCCCATGGCACCAGAGCCACAGAGTCTCTTCACATCAGGTAATATAGAGTCGCTCTATGAGGGAGATCAGGGGGATGTTTATAAATATGATAAATAAATATAATATGTAGTATAAGAATAATTATTAATAAATATTTGCACATTGTAATTTGAAATAGTATTTTGCCTTAATTTCACTTTTTAAGTAAATCATGATTATTAAAAGCCATGGTAATACTTTTGTAAAGATTTTCTGTGTGGGTGATGATAAACTTTATTAAAGAAATGAAAATTCTATCTTAAATTAACATAACTTTCTTAAAATAAAATTTCACATATTGTGCTTGAATGTAGTATAATTTAACATCAGAATTAGGTAGAATATTTTCCTTATAATTACAAACAGTGATTTATTTAATTTATATATCATGGGCTTTGTTACCTGGCATTAATATATTTAAATATAAATGAGTAATCATGCTTCTATATGAACAACATTTCCAAATTGATATTATACATGCATGCATTTTATTAGTTTAGAGAGTTGATTTCAGGATATAGGAAGTCCTTGACTTGCAACCATTTGTTTAGTGACCGTTTGAGGTTACAGCAGCACTAAAAATTGACTTATGGCTTTTTTTCACACTTACGACCAATGCATCCCCATGGTCATATGATCAAAATTTGGCTGCTTGGCAACTGACATTGATGGTTGCAGTATTCTGGGGTCATGTGATCAGTTTTTGTGACCTTTGACAAGCAAAGTCAGTGGGGAAGCCAGATTCACTTAAAAACTGTATCACTAACTTAACTGCAATGATTCACTTAATAACTGTGGCAAGAAAGGTCATAAAATGGTGCAAAATTCACGTAACTGTCTTGCTTAGCAACAGAAATGTTGGGCTCAATTGTGGTTGTAAGTCGAGGACTGCTTGTACAACTTCAGCTGGTACAGATTGTTCAGATTGTTCCCTTGTTGAAAATTCATCCCCTAATACCATACAGTATTTCATTAGAGGCTAAAATAAACAATTTATTTTAACAAATTTAAGATATTTGTGTTTTATCATGAAAATAATAAAGAGTCTCATCCCAATTATCACCTAAACTTTGGTAGATCATAGTCAGTGAATGACATGGACAGTGTCCTATATAACAATAAATTGATTATTTTTTAAAGACTCTTTGTTTTAATCTCATTAAATATAATATCTAATATAATATCTAATAAGAAGCAGCTATGGTGATTTATTTGCTATGTAATTTACTGTTAGACTCTCTTATACATAACATGAAGTAGTAGTTTGTTTATTCTATATGTACGTGACAGGAAATAGAGATAGTCCTTGCTGGTTGATGGTAATTGGGACCCGGAACGCGATGTGACCATAAAGTGTGATATTACATGACCACATCAACTTATGGCAATTCTGGCAGTCCCAATTGCCATCATTAGGCAAATCTATGCTGTTGTAGCACTGCACATTATGTTATCACCATTTGCAACTTCCTGTTGACCATGCCTCTTGGAAGCCAGCAGTGAAAGTCAGAAAGGATGATCATAGGACTCTGTGACCTTGTAATTGTGAGCCAGTTGCTGACCACCCAAATTGCATCGGTCATAAATCCCCCTTTTACAGTTCCATTGTAACTTGGAATGGTTGCTGAATAAGTGGTAGTTAAATGACTACCTGTATAGCCATTTTCCTGCTCTCTGCATTTGTTTCTAAATATGTTACAAATATAATTCTATATACCATAAACTAAGTTCTGCTAGTGTCAATGGTATTTAATAAGTATGTTTTGTACTAAATATTTTATAGTTATCCAAATGACAAAAATGCTAAAGTTGTTTTCATTTTGGGGAGTTAACAAAAAGAAATTATGACTCCAAATTTAAAGATTTTCATGCACAATAGAGATGAGGGTAAGAAAACAAATACAAAACTTGTAAATAGTTTGATATAGGTGGTTTGAGAAGACATTTATCTCTCCTCTCCTCTCCCTTCCCCAGAAACCATCCCAGTATCCTCCTCTACAGACTGGCAGGCAGCATTTGGATTTGGTTCATCCAAACAGCAAGAAGATGACTTGGGATTTGATCCCTTTGATATCACCCGCAAAGCCTTAGCAGACCTGATTGAGAAGGAACTGTCAGTTCAAGATCAACCGTCTCTCTCACCAACATCTCTTCAGAATCCTTCCCCACACACTACAACTGCCAAAGGGTCAGGATCTGGATTTCTGCATCCTGCTACACCCGCAAATGCCAATTCTCTCAATAGCACATTTTCAGTCTTGCCACAGAGGTTCCCACAATTTCAACAGCATCGAGCAGTTTATAATTCCTTCAGTTTTCCAGGCCAAGCAACTCGCTATCCTTGGATGGCCTTTCCTCGCAATAACATCATGCACTTGAACCACGCAGCAAATCCCTCTTCAAATAGTAATTTCTTGGACTTGAATCTCCCACCTCAACACAGCACAGGTCTAGGAGGGATCCCCATAGCAGGTAAGTGCCTTGAGTCAGGCAATACATTTGAGTCATATCTTCAGCTTTTCTAAACCAGAGTAATAAAGAATAGGAGGGGAAATTTATTTATTTATTTATAATACTTGCTAGAGGACCCCAATTAGAAAGATTCTAGGTGGTGCACAACTTGGAGAAAATTGTTCATCAAGCCTATTAAAACATAAAGCCTATTAAAACATACAATCAGAGGGTCACCTGCAATTGCACTTTAAGTCAATCTCGCATCAAAATGAAATGATTTTCGGGATCTTCCAGAATACAAGGAGGCTTAAAACTAACTGTACTGCTGGGTTAAGTATGCTCCATAGTGTGGTGGGTACTACCAAGAAGGCCTGCCTTCCAGCCCATGCCTGGATGGTTGTTACTGAATAGTGGTATAACTGTCATACTGGGAACATGTCTTTTTGAATTTAGCCTTCTAATTATGAGCTTTATAAGAAAAGTGGAGTATTCCATGTCCAATAATTAATATTTCAGAAGTTTTATAATTTGCTTTGACTACTTAGTAGTGCTGTAGAATTGATTTTTATTTATAGTTTGGGGTATATTTCAACATCCAAACATTTGCCCTGACTACTCATTACACCTGGAGAACATAATAGCAAATCAGTAGTCATATCATTTACCTTTTTCATTATCTGAACAGTGAAATCTAATATTGTTGAGATGGTACAGACAAGTGAATAAGGTGGTACGAAATGCTTTATGAATATAATTATGCTATATAATGTCTCTACTGTTCAGTTTGACATTCAACCAGAAAATTAACCATCCTGATTTTTATTTATATATCTTTTCTATTCCAAATTGCACTGAAAATGTTGAAAGTAGAGAACATTCTAATTAACATACACAAAGAAATATGATTGGCAAATCATGATTTTGTTGAATTTAGAACAAAATTTGGTGTCTTCAAATCATAATTCATAATGTTTTTAAAAGATATTTTGTCAGTAGCAATTGCATCCTGACTTAGGAGTAATATGACTTGGAGATAACATTTTATTTTTCTAAGCTATTTATCATGAAAATCTTGGTTTTCTTTCTCTATAAATATTTTAAAATAACTAGGAAAACTAACATTTTTTACTTAATATCATTTTATTAGTAATTGAAACATTCTGAAAAGTTTCAATTTTCCAGTATCTTTGTCTTCACTTGCTTTGCCTACATGTTCTTTGGTACTTTAATTTCAGCTTTTAGATCGCCTCATTTTTAAAAATCAGTATCGACAGTGCATATAAAGTCTACACACTCCTGTTAAAATGCCAGGGTTTTGAGATGTAAAAAAAAAAACCCTACACCAAAATAAATCACTTCAGAACTTTTCCCATTTTTAACATATAAGTTGGACAATTCATTTGAAAAGCAAACAAAAACATTTTAGGAAAATAACAGCAACATGGTTTTACTGTATAAAGATGCTCACCCTTAAACTAATACTTTGTTGAAGCACCTTTTGATTTTATGACAGCATTCAATCTTTTGGGGTAAGAGCTGTCAGCATGGCACATCTTGCCTTGGGAATCTTTGCCAAAGTAAAGGTCAAAATCCTTGAAAAAGTGCTCCAAATCTGCCAGATTACATGGGCATATACTGTGCATAGCCCTCTTCGGGTCACCCACAGATTTTCAATTGGATTCCGGTCTGGGTTCTGGCTGGAAAAACTTCCAAAACTTTGATCTTCTTCTGGTGAAGCTATTCTTTGGTTGATTTGGAGGTAAGTGTTGGGTAGTTGTGTTGAAAGATGAAATTCCTCTTCACCTTCAGCATTTTAGCAGAGGCGTGAAGGTTTTGTACCAAAATTGACTACTACTTGGAAGTATTCATAATTCTCTCCACATTGATTAAAGCCCCAGTTCCAGCTGAAGAAAAGCAGCTCCAAAGCACAATGTTGCCCCTGCCATGCTTCATTGTGGGTACAATGTACTTTTGGTGATGCACAGTGGGGTTTTTTTGCATCAAATATACCTTTTGGAATTATGGCCAAAAAGTTCAACCTTGGTCTCTCCAGACAATAACACATTTTCCCACGTGCTTTTGTCAGACTGGATGTAGGTTTTGGAAAATGTAGCTGGGCTTGGATATTTTTCTTTGTAAGAAAAGGCTTCATCTTGTCAACCTACCCCACAGCCCAGACATATGAAGAATACGGGACATTGTTGTTACATGTAGGATATAACGAATACTTACCAGAATCAATGCAGCTCCTTTAATGCTATTATAGGCTTCTTGGCAGCCTGTTAAACCAGTTTTCTCCTTGTTTTTTCATCAATTTTGGAGAAACATTCAGTTCTTGGTAATGTCACTGTTGTGCCATATTTGCCCCACTTGTCGATGACTATCTTCACTGTGTTCCATGATATATCCAAAGCATTGGAAATTTTTTGTACTCTTTTCCTGACTGATTACATTCCAACAGTGAGATCCCCTTGATGCTTTGTAAGCTCTTTGCAGACCGCAGCTGTTGCTATAGAGGCAACTGAGAAAATGTCAGAAAACTCTTAATAGAACAGCTGAACTTTATGTGGGCTTGATCAGAGTCATTTTAACTGATGGCAGGTATGTACTAACTACTATTTAATATCAGTTTGAATATGATTAGTTAATTCTGAACACACTCACATCCCTATTTATAAGAATATGTGCAAACTTATGCAACCACGTTATTGTAACGTTTTCATTTCCCCCCCTGAAAGATTGTTTTTCAGTTGAATTGTATAAACATTTTTGAAGTGATTTATCTTGGTCTGATATTTTTTTTACATCTCAAGGACCTAGTATTTTAATGGGGTGTGTAGACTTTTTATATCTACTGTATTTTATTCCAGTATCCAGTCTATATAAACATAAAAAAAGAAATCATGTGTTACAGAGTGATTGCTGAGAACCCTGTCCTAATGAAATAAGATTTAGAAGGAAGGACTGTACCAGAAATAAACACCAACCTGAGTGGAATAGGCTGTGTAGAACCTGTCTCAGTGTCACCAATAGTATACTCAATCCTGAGTTGGGATATGATATATCACTTCCAGTAATATTAAAGGCAAAGTTAGGGGAAAGGTGTTCTTATGGGGCAATATTTTATATATTTGTTGATTCTCATTTGGACTTAACAAAATTTATTGGACCATTATTCCTCAAAATAAAAGTATTATATTTAAGAAGCTTGGATAATTCTAAATCCATTTGGCAAAAGAAATTTACATGTACTCTGTATTTTAAAACTGCTTTTTATATCCATTGTACAACCATACTTACTTTTATTTGCCATCTGCCCAGTATAATATATATGCGGTTTCCCCACACATTTAATCTTTCCCAAAATAAACTGCATGCAATTGTTTTCTGCAGTGCTATATGTTTTGTATTGTCAGCCTTGAATTGTCAAGAGTTGTATCCACGTCTGAATCAGGGTGTATTATAGCGTTTCAATAATATGTTGTTCTTTGCTCCTGTCTGGAGGACTCCAGACTTCTTTTACATGTGCATTCATTCCTTAATTTGTGTTTTATTGTTTAAAAAAACCAATAAAATGTGATGAAATAGATACAAATCATTTACATTTAAAAAGTATTTCAATCTCTTTGTTCTTCCCCTAGTGCAAAATGTTAGAGATGCAGGATTTTTAAAAATAGGCAAGCAAAGAATTGAAATTATTTTCTTCACTGTCACTCATTAAGAACTGTTCCTTTTAACCAAGATGAGAAAAAGATTCTCTTTTTCTTGTAGAATGTAAACTTTATTTTACAGATTTAAAGGTTTATGTCAAGATTATACAATCTTAAATTCCAGTTATAATTTAGCCATAATAGATTTGATTCTTGAAAAAAATATGAGGAAAAGTGCAATTCTGATCTCTAATATAATCTACTGTAATTTAATGCCATTAATGTATGTTTGACCACATTTATTCCAGGTTAGACATGGGTGTTTTTGTTCACCAGGGAATTCATTTCCCTTGGATTTATGCTGATTTCCACTAGAAAGAGTGAAGCTACGATGAATTGGACAATAGAACATTTAATTGCTATCTTTTTTATGGGCAGTCACATCACTATTTCTAGTTCAAGTTCACCATTAAAAAAAACCCCTAATGTTACATTTCACAATATATCTAGTATGACTCTGTGACAAATTCATCCGCTATGTTCATTTGATAATATATGCTTCATAAAGTTCATATTAAGGAGCATGAGACCTACAGTTCATCTTTTGTAATGATTCATTTACTGTGTGGGAAAATTTATTATATTGAAAGTAGCTTCTTTTCTAGAGGAAAAATATAAAGGATTTTACAAAATTCTTACAAAATATACGAGCTCCTAGCATGCTTTACTATTCTTTTACATAGTATTCATATTTCAGTTAAAGAAGTTTTCAAAGCAGTTTTGAAAAATAATAACAAATAATTCATATTAATTAACATAAGTTACATTTCACTAATTTTAGTAAGTGAATTAAACTTGGTTTTATTGATTTAAACTTTCAGTATTGTGTATTTCAGGTATATGGTTTTGTTGATCCATATAGTTCCAGATTCTTCACTCTTAGGAATGAATCTACATAAACAATACTTTTTCACTTTGAGGAATTGTTCTCCTACTTAATTAATCTGTGGATTTCCTTTTTTTCCTGTCTTTTTTCTTTCTTTGCCCATTTTATTTCCAAGACTTCTATTTTTCTTCAGTTCTCCTGTGAAATTTTTTTAAAGCTAAATAAAAGTACTATATGATCAAAATATTTCTGCAATGGTTTAGCAAAATCAATTTTTTCCCCTCCATTTTAATAGTATTGCCAAACGTGTCAGCACACCAGAAATCCTGTTTAGGGACATGAAAAAAAAAAGTAATCGCTAAGAATTGATACCAAATTGATGGGACATAATCAATAGCTATTTACATGGTAACTAAACAGACCCTTTAACAATGTTCAGAAGTGAAATCTGGCAGTTTTGTATTTCACACAAACAATGTTCA